AATAATAATAATAATAATAATAATAATAATAATAATAATAATAATAATAATAATAATAATAATAATAATAATAATAGAGATTAATTTAATTAATGGACTTTTCCTTCGTCGCTAGAGTTGCCACAGTCATATGAGATGATAAAGTGAAGTGTTGCTTTCGTCGTTACTGATAAAGTCTAAGGTAGTAAAGGAGTAAAGGTTGTGCTAGTCTAATTAAGTGTATATAGAAGATTCGCGATGTTTAAATCATAAGTAGAAATAGTATCTTGACTTTGATCTATTAAATTGTAATGTATAAGGGGTGACTTTCGCTCCGCTACGTATAATCAATCAACCTCCGTTAATTTGATCGCTACTAGTGATAACCGCACAGTATGTCACGCATTGGTTTACCCCTAATATATAAACACTCTACTCCCGTTATGGTGGACCCGTTAATGTGGATCTTCTTTATTATTGTTATTATGTGAGTGACACCAAGGGAAATGGAACATTGGTTTGTTTATCATTGATTATTTATTTAAAATAATAAATGATAAACCAATGTCACATTTTCCCTTGGGCGTCATTTATACGGTGCTGTTATGAGTATTCATTATAGGATCATCCAGGGCTGCCCCAAAATGCCGTGACGTAATTAATTGGTTGGATAGATTAACTTAATTTAGGCCGAAGATCGAAATTATAATTTTTGCTGGAAATTAATTTTCAATTTTTCGAATCCAAAAAAAGAAAATTTGACCTGCTCTCATTGCTTTCATTCGGAGATTCTTTACTTAATGGACATCTGTGGTTAATTAGAAGAATTTGCGTAATTTTGTCCTGGTTGCATCATGATCTATATAACTGCACTTTTGATGCCGCCCTGGATGATCCATTCATTATAACAGTTTGCATTTCTCAACCAGGTCAATACGTTATAACGGGGCAAAGTGTATAAATTTACATCTTTACAAGATCTGCAATATAAACACATTGTCTTTTTAATCGTACATATTGTTTTAATGAGATATATTTAGAAAGGTCGCACTAATTGAATGCAGCAAATATTGATCGGCATCAATGGATCACAAATAATGTACATCGTAATAAACTTCAAATTAATAGCAAATCACTCTTCATTCTATGTATAATTATGTAGTGCCTGGTGAAAAGAACCGATAAATTTCGTTAGCTGACGGTTCCCATGATGATCTGCGGTCAAGGTATATACTGTATTTAGTACAGAATGAAGGTTTCAACGGATTGAATAATGTTTTATTGTTACTTAAAACCTTGACCAAATTCTCATTTATAATTTAAAATAAGTTACACGAAACTTAAAATATTTGTGCACAACATTTAACGTTAACAATTTTGGAATAGGGTACTTCTACGAACTTAAAATTTTTTCCAGAACCAACAAAATTCGACGATCTTGGATAACAAAATGAAATTTTCTATGTTAATTAGTTTTCGACAATTAATCTTCAACTAAATTCTCGGAATGGAATTTTTTATCTAAAATACTGCTCTTTATATCAAATATACAAATTACTGGATTTGGATCGTAAAAAGAAATACGTCTGGTTTGTTTGTTATTATCCACGTACATACATGCGTACATAATTAAATACTTTTAGGCGCATACTGTAAGGTTTGCAGTATAAAGAGAAAACAACGCTTACAAAGATTTCCCCTTTCAACTGCCAAATCCCAAATTGCTCGTAAAGTTAATAAGATAAAAGGCTAAAATATAAATTTTATGCATGTTTGTACATAAATTTAATTAAATGCATGTGTGTATGCATATACATATGTAAGTAATTTAAAAAATGAAAATTCATTGGTCGCATATGTATCCCAACCTAATTACAAGAATGCATTTTTTTTCGTAAATAGGGGATTAGTTGGTTTTTTTTTCTTATCGTAAAATTATGGATATGCAAATAAGCATTTTTTGTGTATTTTCATAGTGTATCTACAAAGAACATGATACAATCAAACACAAATAAACAAGCGTCCCTATATGAGAACACGGTATTTGGATCTTCATTTCACGAGATATAGTGTACTAGCCCCTACTTCTAGCCACAATAGTAAATTTTCCAAGCTTAACATGTAAAAGGTTGGTTCAAACATCAAAAAAATGATTGTTATAGGTTATTACATAATAAAGCTGTAATACTTAAAAAATGATTTCTACAAATAATGAATTTAAGATTTACATGCCAAGAACGGAGTGGAGAAATAAATAAAAGCTTGGTCTAAGTAAAAATGATAAACATCTTAAATTTGACTGATTTGCTGACCATATTTGTCACATATTGTCGATCCATCACATGCCTCGTCTCTTTCTTACATTTACTACGACAGCATATACTACTATATTAAGCAGTGCACCTAAATAATATTATTTTGAACTCATTCAATAGGTTCTCAATAATAATTGAGAATGATGCTGGAATGTGGTACACGATATATATACATCCCACTCCTGATCATAAGCTTCGGGTTGCGTGAATTAATACTACAAGTATTGACTATAACGAGAATCTTCATATATCGACATCGAGATTTTCTCACACTTTCTATATATTTCAATGAATAAATTCTCATTTCTAGAGGCTTCGCGCCATCTCTCAAGTCTCAGCCAGCCTTACGTAACCCATTTCATAGCCACATCGGAGATCTATTTTTAGTGCGCATAGAGGCTTAATCTTTACTAAAAAGGGTAAGATTTTAATTTTTAAAATTTAAAAACTCCGTGCTCTTTGATGATAATTATCATCAACAAGATAACTTAATATGTAATATAAAAACTAAAATTTTGTGGAAATTTCATACATAAAATGAATTTTTTGGCGCTTGAATAATCATTTGCCTAAATTAAATTCAAATAAAATCAATTGTATTCTCGATTTAAATTAGAGATGCTATCTCACTAATCGGAGAGTACCATAATTTAATAATGTATATATTATTTTTGATGTAAACTCAAAAGGTAATTTAGTAAACCATGCCACCATTAATCCCGTGCATTGAACATGTAAATCGTTCGTATCTGTATCGGTATGAACAAATAAATTAAATATCCGTAAATCACAAAAAAGAAAATTCTAAGCCTCAACTTTTTAAAGTTAGATCATTTAATCATAAAGTGGCAACAATTATTATCCATATCAAAAAATTTCGACGTCAATGTTTCAAATCTTTTCTAAAATATATTGTATTTTAAAACTTTTGACTAATTTGAAATTTATTTTTAGTAACTTAACCGGGAAAACATTGAAGTTATACGCAGAATTATGTAACAATAATTCCTTTTGTAAAAGGATAGATTATTAATAGAAATATTGACTATTCCAAATTTTTCTAAGAACCAAGATTTTTTTTCATTGCGATCGATCGATTTTCACGTTACACATAGCACTAGACCTTGATTGGTCGATCAGGGGGGAGCGACGCATTGCACTGGCGATGAATTAGATATATCACATTATAATACTTTTTTTTATACACATTTGGCTTTATAATAAAGGGAGTGGCGTCGTGCAGCCGACGCGGGAAATGCATATATGCCCAAAACAAGTTAATTAATGCATCTTAAACTAAAACGCTTTATTCTATGTTTCGATTTCTTATAAATATGGGCTCTTGTTCCTTTTTACCAAGAGAATAATTTCATTGAGATTAAAAATTAAAAATTAGTTAATGATAATAATATAATAATAAATAATAAAAACATTTACATATAATATCGACTTGATCTAAAAAAAAATCAAAAAAAAAATCAAGCATTCTATATATTTAATAAGAACAAAAATGAATCTTACTAAGAATACAATTATCTTCCTTGTCTTATGCATCTTTATCGTCTCTAGTGTTCTTGCTCAAGGAGGGTAAGTTAGTTTTCAATATAGTTAGCATCGCGAACATTAAATACTATTTTCCATCATTTTTAAAATATGATTTGTATTTCTTGTTAATTTTAAAAGTCCCCCGTCTGGAGCTCCCAATGGACCTCAAACTGCACCCAATGGACCAAATGGACCCAATGGACCCGGTGGACCAACCCCAACAGGAGGAGCTGGTGCATCTGATACAGCTCCAACTGGAGCCGGTGGACCAAATGGACCCGCTGGTGGACCTGCTGGAGCTCCAACTGGAACTGCTGCTGCTGGTGGACCTCCCGGATCTGCTGCTGCACCAAGTGGCGCTGCTGGTCCATCAGGCGCTGGCCCATCTGGTGCTGGTGCTGCTCCAACTGGTGCTGGTGCTAACCCTGCAGGTCCTGGCCCTGCACCAGCTCCTTCACCCAATTCACCCGCTTCTTCGCCCGCTTCTTCGCCCAAATCTCCTGCGTAAGTATTTTTAAAAAATTTTGATTAATTATTTTTTAATCAATTCATTCATTCATTCATTCATTATTATATAATAATTCCTTTTTTTAAAGACCATCTGGCACATCCGCCACTGCTCCCAGCACGGGTGCTGCTTCAAGCTTCCGTGCAAACTGTTTTGCTGGATCCTTTGTTGCTTTATTCATTGGAGCTTTATTATATTAATTAGTTTGGATATTTCTATAACAAAAAATTTCATCCTTTTAATTATATGTTACAACACAAAAGAACGTTTATACTATACTTATTTTATATTGTGGAATGGTAATGTTGGGAATGATAATGTTTGTAATAAATAATAATATTATGTGCGACGATACTTGATAGAAATATTTTTGTACCAGCAAATCATACTTTTTTCTACTCCAAAAATAAAACTTTTAGAATTATAGCTTGAATTGCTTAAATTATAAGTTTAAATGAATATTCTAAAATGAATGATTATTTGTTGCTTTTTTTTTATCGACTAAACTTTATAGACATATTTCTGTTAGTCGATAAAAGTTTTTCTTAAATGCTTTTTTTTTTTCAGATCATACTAATTTTCCGAGAAATGGTAGTTACAGATAAATTACAGCATTATTTTCGTTAAATAATAATAATTAACGAAGATTTTCTGCGGTGATTATAATTCGCAATAATTTTATTTTTTGTGTAGAAGAATTATCGCAGAAATTAATCACAGCAGAAAATTATCGCCCCTGAGTTATCTGTATTATGAATGTTATCTCGAAATTTAGCATATGTTCGTTCGCTTGTTTAGGTGTAGCTTCATTTAGCTAATGGTTGTATTAGATATTTCTTGCTTAAGATTACAGATGCATCAAACGAATAAATTTTATAGATTTTATTACGTGATGCAACTTACGTAGCATAAAATAAGTTTTCAATAACGAAGATTAATTACTCCACAGATGCATCAAACTTAATAAATTTAACAATATATCATAATGAAGATAACGTTTGTAAACACTGAATGTGTTACTTTTAACGGATGATGAATAGAACCATTATTCTACTGCATTATTAATTCGTACACATAATCAGGAAAAATCAGTTTAATCTAGATTAACAGTAACTTGAATGCATTACGTATACAAATATCAATTAACCATCAATTTTTATTATCATTGAAGCGAATTAATCAAAACCACGTGTTTATTGCCTTATGTTTCTAACCAGCTTTTAGAACAGCCTAGATGGCTTATACAAAAAGATTAAATAATTTTTAAGAGAAATATATGTAAAATTTGTTCTGTGGAATATGTGATGAACATAGAAACTTGTGACAATTTCATCATGATCTTCGTCAGTAAAAGGATCCGTAGAACGTATCCACTCAATCTCGGGGCATACCTAAGCCATAAACTGGAATATTCCAACTACAATTCACTGAAGATCATTTATCGTTATCTTACATATTCGCTCAGTTGAAATCCAGTCAATGAACTAGTTGTCGGTGAAATGAACTTATCGTCTGACTGATTATTGGTGATACATATTCAATCTAATTATGGTACCAGTGAGGTAATGGGTGATAATGACCAAATCAAATATAATAATAGCGAAAATAGAATGTAGGAAAAATAGAATATTTTTTTATTCATAATAAATCGCAGATAAACGTTTCTTTATTAAGGTTAGAAGACTGCCTTAATTAAAAGCGCGCAAAAAAATAGATCCTTTTATGTATAGACATAATACTTTCCTATTGTTTTAAAACCAACACTACGCTTTCACTGCCGTTTTTCACTCACCTTTAGTAATAAAGCTTCGCTCAACTCCCTGACAGGTTCACGTTCTTATGTTACTCGTGTAACAGAAATTATGTACAGCGCACGAATGGCTCAGCGGCAGGTAGCAAAATTATATCGATGTCGATATGTGATCTTATGGATTAATTCTATATTTGAGTAAGAAGGCTTCGCAATAAAGAATGATGAACGAATAAACGCCGCTTCAGATTTTCTAGGACGATCTATGGTCGAACCGAGAAGATTATCTTTAGTACTAAAAGGTTATTTTTCACATATTCACGTGACAATGCCTGGGTCCTCCATCTATACTCAAGATCAACTGTTCTAGCATCTCGCAATACCGTAGTAATAACCATATTTGTCTACATCGTCATTAAAATAATTATTTACATAACTTTCTATTTTAAGTTTATTCTTCGGTATTAATTTGAGATCATAAGTATTTATGATGTAATATTTAATCTTATTTAGTTAGTCAATAGTTAAATAATCTAGACTTCAAAATATAATTGTTTCAAAGCATTATTAAGTGATGTTCGATTTTGCTTGGACTACATAAGTACGTACTAAGAAATATATATTTTAATTACTCACTATATTTAGAATTTGCACTAGTTATTTATCGGTGTTTAGAATAAATAATCATCGTATAATAAATGCAGATCAACACTACTTTATTAAGATTTGTATTCTTCAACGTTTTGTATACAAATTAATTAAAAAGAATTCTCTGGAACATTTCATTTTACATCTGAGAGATTACTAGTTCAAGTACTAATATGTACGCCATTATTTTATGCTATCAACCAGTTTTGATACTAAATTAGTTTAGATGCTCGACCTTACGTACTAAAAATAAAATGCGTGATCGGGCAAAAATATCATTAATTCAGGTTTAAACTTGGTAGAATTGGGTTACTCAATGGTTATTACCAACGTGGTTAAAAAAGTAACTAGCCAGTCATGTAAAAGTACGTATAACGTTCATAATATCAGCAGTCATCCGATTTGTCATGTAGATAAGGTGGGTAAATTTTTTAATATGAAATTCAACGATACAGTTTTCAAGGGTTTCTTAAAGGAAACTGCCTCACGAGACTAGATATGACAACTGACGCAAACGTCTTCTTATTTTTATACTTAAAACAATTTTGTAAATAATAACTTTGAAAAGAATGCGACCCTTAAAAGTTGGCTTTTTATTAATTTTTAATATGTAGCATTCATTTAATATTCTCGCTTTTATGAAAAACCCAAGCCCACCTGAAAAATTATAATAAGCCAAAACAATATTGTAAATAATAATTTTGAAAAGAATGTGGCTTTAAAGTTGGCTTTTAATTTATTTTTATATGTAGCATTCATTTAATATTTTTCACTTTTATAACACAAAAAATTATAATCACCAGAATTTAAATTATAATCACAAGGTACCAGCTTCGAGCTTATAATTTTTGTGAATTTTTAGTTAAATTAGAATTACTAACCGGGTAGTTTTTCAAAATAAAGTTGGTTGAAATAGCTTATTAAAAATTAAACATGATTTAAATTTATTATTAATAATGTTAGTTTTATGTACTCAGTATATTGGAGTATTCAATTATTTACAAATTATAAATGATTAGAACTAAAGATTCTGTTTAATTCTATTATAAAAAATGTATATATATTTAATTTTGTATTATTTTTTAATTAAATAAAGAATTGCGCAAAATTATAATCTGTGCTCAGTTGGTGATCACGTGCGATGTTCGTAGAACATCCGCTTAGAAGAAACTGTTGGCGTTTCGTGTTGAATTGATATTCTTCGGGGAAGCTAAATTAGGGAATTTAAGGTTTCACGAATGTCAATCGATTGTATGCTATGTTTTTAGCGCTTGAGCTTTGCGCAAGAGTAGCGCAACGCTGCGAATCGCTGCACTGCGCGAGCTCATTGCGCTTTGCTCAAAAAAATTTTTTCGCTTGGCGAAAAACTGTTAAATATGTACGTGTGGAATAAATAAAAGATTAAAAAGGCAAAATTAATATAACTCCTCAAATATGCATAAATAGGATGACGTGTTAACATTAAAGAAAGAAAGGTGGTAATTCGATTGGAAGTCATTGATGACCTTATATGGTAAAAGGTATAGACGGTTGGAATTTATTATAATAATAATAAGTGAGTAGATTTATTGAGTATTATTGTGCATAAATAAAATTGCTTCCTTTTTTCGAAATTTAGATCTTCATCTAACTTGAATCGATGATAACTACATTTGGTGAAAAATGATATTGCGAAATATTTAAAGTTGTAAAAGTTATCTTATTAATAATTAAAATTAATGAAATTCGGGCATAATTTTTTTTTTAAAAAACTAATTTTTGATGAGATTTTTAATAAAATTTTATAAATTTAAAATTGTAAGTTTATACAGTATACCTTTATTATAATATAAATTCTTATAATTAATGAAAATTTAATTTAAATAAAATAAAATAGAATGGAATAAATAAATAAATGCCTTAATATTAGGTAGAGCGTATAACCAATCGTAATAAAGTTCAATTGTTATTCCCGCTGACTAAAATAAATGTTTTCAAACATTGAAAAAAAATCAGCTAATTTGATAATATTGAATGAAGAAAAAGTTATTGAATGAAAAATTTGATTAAGTATTAAACGACACATAATGACAAATAATAAAAAGTATTAATTAAATGACATAATAAATTATCAAATGACATAATTTTAAGCATAGAATCATTTATTTGTAAAATGTTCGTGAAATAAATTAATTTCAATAATGACCTACCGGATCAAATGCCGAATAATGTAAATAATAGCAAAAAAAAAAAAACTTTCTTTTTGATTAATAATTAATGATGATTGACAATAACTTGAATAACTTAAATGAGCGAATTCGTGAAAGAAAGAAAAAAAAATCGTAGTGAAAATAATAATAAGAAAATTATATTTATAACACCATGTTATATAAAAATCTTAAATATTTCGAAATTTTACTATGGTAACCCTGTTGTGTAACTAAGAAAAAATGCCCTCTCGCAATTTTACACTAGGCTAACCCTAACCCTAACACTAAACTTTAGTTGCAACAGCATAGTCTAAATAATAGGGTGTTATATATAACGCGGTGTTATGAATAGGGAATTGTTTTTTTTACCTCCAAATTTATTATTCGTACCCCTGCAAAAATTAAAGTATTTTTTTAACTTTGAAAGAAGATATCACGGCGACCACCAAGTTAAATTCGATGAATTTTTTTATCCGAATTCTATGAATTTATAGAATTCGAACAAAAAAAAATTCATCGAGTTTGACTTGGTAGTTGCTAAGATATTTTTGCTCAAAGTTTAAAAAAAAATCAAACCAGCTATATTAAATTTTT